CCAGTGCCGAGTACAGGGGTCAGATCCCTTCCCTGTCCCTGCTGGCCACGCTAGTGCAGACACAAGCCAGGATGCCATTGCCCTCCTTGGCCCCCTGGGCACACTCTGGCTCATTCTCACCCCCCAGTCCCTCTCTGACCAGCAGCTCTCCAGCCGCTCCTCCCCAGGCCTGTAGCCCCCCTGGGGGTTGTTGTGGCCCAAGGGCAGCCCCCGGCATTTGCCCTTAGTGAAACTCCCCCAGTTGGGCTCAGCCCAGCGCTCCAGCCTGTACAGGTCTCTCTGCAGAGCCTCCCCAACCTCGAGCTGATCAACACTCCCACCCAACTGGGCGTCATCTGCAAACTGACTGAGGGGGCACTCGTTCCCCTCGTCCAGATCATCAATGAAGATTGTTAAACAGGAGTGGCCCCAACACCAATCCCTGGAGGACACCACTCGTGACCAGCCACCAACCTGATTTAACTCCATTCACCACCTCTTTGGGCCCAGTCCCTGCTTTCACAGCTAGCAAACAACCATCCAGTATTATTAACTCCTTTAGCTTTTACCAGATTTTTTTCGTTCTACCTCAGGCTCAGGGATCCATTTATAGATTTCCCTGCTGGGAACCTGGCGCACAGTCCCCACTCGCTGCATGTGGCCCAGCACTGGTGACTTCGAGACCTATTTCCAGAAGAATCACAATTTACAAACCAGGGGCCAAGGGGAGAGGTTGAGGTGGTTCCTAAGGGGGAAGCTACATGCCTGCGGCAGGGTCCTCGCCATATTGGTGCAGGCCAGAGCTTCGGAGGATGGAATCCTGTCTGCCGGATTATTAACTCGCGTTGGAGGGCACCGAGCGCAGGGGGAAGAGCCCTTCTGCTCCCGCGGCCACTGTGTCCCCTCAAGCATCCCGCTGCCCTCAGTCATGATCCCCCTGCCTGCCCCGACTGCAACATCACAAGGGGCCACAGCAACTGCAGCAGACACCCTGCGCATGAGCATGGCAGCATGGGAGGCGGGACTTCAGCATCGCCCCGCCCTTATAGACCCCGCCCCTCCAGCAACGCTCCGCCCCCACCAGGAGGCTGATTTGGAAGGGGGAGCAACAGCAACGGACACCATCCCCGCAGGAAAATGAACAGTAATTACAGTCAGCCGGTCTCAAGATGTCTCTTTGGGATAGGAAATTTAATTAAACACACAACAGGCTTTTTTCTTTCATGATGAGGCTGGGGCGCCACAGCGGCTGCTGTCGTCCGGGCTGGATTCCCGCAGCGCCGGCTCCTCCTGGGCAGGCAGGGGGCAGCTCAGCAGCGCTTGGGTGCGGGCCCCTCCTGTGCACAATTTCCATGCCCAGGCTGCAAGGACCAGCTGCCTCGCTCTTACATTAAACCAGCTTTTTTCAAGTCCTCAGGAAGAACGCGGCCTTTCTTCCGGGCCCTGGCTTTCTTCTTCTCTATCCTGTCCTTCTTCTTCTTCTGAATGTTTTTGCGACGCTTTTCCTGCCTCTGTTGCATCTTTTCCACCACTCTTTCCGTCCGCTTCTCCCACTGCCTTTGGCGTTGTGCTTTGCGCTTCTCCTTACGCTTCAGGGCTTCTTTCAGACGCTCCTCGTTGTCACGAATCTTGACGCCTTCCGCCTTATAGAGAACATTTGTCCATTTCATCTTGTTCTCCAGGTCCTGAGCTTTCTTCTGGTCCTTATCCTGGAGTTCCTCCAGCTTATTCTTCCTGCTCTCCAGCCTGCTCAGCAGCTGCTTGTAGTTTTTGCCTGTCAGAGGAGTGATGTTGCCTTTCACTGCTTTCCTCTTCTCCTTCTTCTTCTGGATCTTGCTCAACTCATTCTCTCCATGAACTTCAACCCTGTTAAAGACAATCTCAGCTGTACTCTCCTCCTTTTTGATTTCTGGCTCTATCGGTACCTCCTCAGTTTCTTTCTTCTCCATTTTTGCCTTCATCTTCAACTCCTTTCTTCGGCGCTTCTTTCTCTCCCTCTCGTACTTCCTTCTCTGCCTTTTCTCCAGGACTGCAGGGGACAATTCTTTGGCATCAACCTAAAATGAAGGATGGACATGAATCAGGAGCCTTAAAGAGATGAAGCAGAATATTGAGAGGGATGTCCTCCAGTTCCTGATTTCAAACTTCTGCTAAGAAACGCACTACTTGTGACAAGAAGTTGTGAGCTCAGCTTTTAGATACTAAACACAGCAAAGGCATTTCAAACTCTTTACTCTCTCCGTAGCTATGCTCCCTTTCAGGCTCTTAGTGCCTTTTTTTTTCCTTTTTTTTCCTAAAAATCACCAGGGGCATGCTCTCCTGCAAGCCAAGCAGGTCCTACCACTTCTCAAGTGCTTTTCCAGACCACAGAATACCCACAGGTCTCCCAACAATATCTGCAGACACTTCCTTAGGAGATTACATTAGCTCAAACCTTGAGCCTTGAAGATCGTAGTCTTGTCTCCAGATCTCCTGGGAGGCTAGGGAAAATTTACATTGCATGAACGCGCATATAGATACAAGTTAAGAATTCCCATACTTGTCCAGAGGCTTGTTTTATTTTCTCGTGTAGTCTCTGACGCAAGAAATTCATTGCAGAAAAGGAAGGGGAACCCAGTTCACTTTTGTTCCCTGAAAATGAGAGGAAAAAAAAATACTTAAGAGACAGCACTAGCTAAACACAAGAACTGTCTATGCCTATAGGAAATTTTCTGAGAACTCTTTAGATAAGGTGAAGAGAACACAAAATCTACACAAGCCAGGAGTTTCTATGTCATTGGTTTCTTTAAATTCCCCCTTTTCTATCCCTATGATCACTCAACACTGCCAGCCAGAGTGGCCTGGCCTGCCCTGCAGCTGCCTTAACAAGCCAGAAGACAAGTACCAAGCTAGTGCAAACAGACACCAAGGACATCGCTTCTGTGTGATCACAACGGAAAGCTGGCCTGGCACGACAGAGATTGCACCCACGTGATAATTCCCAGAAATTACCCAAATATATAGACTCTGCAATTCAGTTTAAACACCGTTTCCAAAGAGCCACCCAGTGGCGACATTACAAATTTCCGTATGTATGCAAAAGCTTTTAGGGCACATAGAATAAGCAAAGATGTTTTCAATTCAGCTGAACTTCTGAAAGGCTTTCTAAACTATACATGTGTGAAACAACTGAAAAGAAGGCCCCTCACCTCAGGTACCTTTAACCAGACCATGGGAACACTGGTATTCTTACCTGTAACCAAACTCTCACTTCTGCTCTGTATAACACCCTCTGGTGATAATTTGCTGGCTTGAGGGGCTGCTTTCTGTCCTGGAGAAGTTTTAGTGGTGTTAGGGACCACCTGCTTGACCGAAGGACCATTTGTCTTCTCAACTTGCTTCCTGGACTTCTTTCTCTTCTTTTTCTTGAGCTGTCTATCAGCATCCTCGGGCTGGCCCGGTTTAGACACTAGAATGCAAAATCAAATGACACAAAACAGGACAACGGTACATTCCCAGTTCATAACATGATTACTGAAGACTAAACTTCAAGTCGAATCTCATTCTTCAAAAATTACATTTTTTAGGATGCACACAGACCAAACATGCTTGCATACTTCAGAAAAATCCCAGCTCTTCCACATCCCATCACCTCGTGTATAAAACCAAACGGAGACACACACACCACACACAACCCCCAGGGCTAACAGTACCACGGGCATAACGTTGCTCAGGAGCCCCCGTGCTTCAGCACAGACGGGTTTTTCATAAACACCGGCACAACGCCGCTCCCCCGGGCCAAGCCCGCCGTGGAGGCAAATCTGTCACAAGTCCAGACCCCCTCCAACAGACCGGGAGGGGCGGAAACCGAGGCGTTTCACCTCCGTTACCAAACTTTCTCTTGCGCGGCTCCGGGGCGAGCTGTGGGCAGATCTTCCTCGCCAAGCCCTGCAGGTAAGAGTCCTGGGCGGCCAGGCTGGCCATTATCGCCCGGGCTGGCCCGTCCCTCGGCTGGCGCGGCCCGGCCCC